TTTTTCTAAGATATGAAAATATAAAATCATACATTTCCTAAAAATTACATTTCTAAAAATCATGTCGATACAAACGGACAAAATATAAAGATGGGAATATTGTGATGTATTTGACAACACATGTTAGAAAAAATTTATGCTAAAATATATAAAGTTTAAGTAAACATTTATTTCAAGCGCAATTAGCATATATTAATAAAAATTGGAAAAAATTAACTAGTTAATAATTTATCAAGTGTCTTAATTGAAAATAATTAAGTTTTATAATTTGAAATACATAATGTTACATCCTCTTTGTATTAAATTGTTTTAGAGAATTAATTTTATTTACAGAATAAATATTATTTTATATCTTACCACAATTTTCTAACTTTAAGACTACTTATTGAATAAAAAGAATTTATTCTAATAAGATATTAGTACAAACAGAGAAATTTAAGAGGAATTTTATGTACTTCTTAGATTTGCAAATGTTAAACAATACTTATATGGACTTTTCAAATTTGTAATTATTACATATAATTACAAACAAAAGAAAAGGATAAAAAGTAATTTATTACTATATTATAGTTTTATAGTAATAAATATTCTTCTATAAATTATATGACTGATAATTATTGTCCCGTGCATCTCAGGGACTCGGTACTAGTTATAACATAATTAGTTTCGCACGTTATCAATTATCTTCGTCTTTCTATCGCCTATATTATAACATAATTAGTTTCACACATTATAAATATTCTGCACTTTATCATTTATCTTTGCTTGCGCAGATTATCGCAAAATTTTTGCCGCATCGTTTATCGAACAATTATTTCGCACTATATCAATTAACTTCGTCTGTTTGTCGTGCTCTGCGTGTCTTTGCGTTGTTTGTTACATAATTAGATGCATAATTATTTTACAATTTATCAATCACCATCATAATTTGTGTGTGGTGAAAAAGTATACAACGGGAATTTCCTTTGTGTGAAAGGATCATTGGATAGTTGAGCCTTACTATTTTATTAGGTAAATCAAGGGATCAATAGCGTGATTGTATTGAACCTTAATATATAATTTAGTTCTAGTTTTGTATTAAAATAATTCTAGCTACTTCCGTGATTATTCTTAGACATATTGAAAATATCTATAAGCATATATATTAATTCCTTGAACTGTGATAAAATATGCAGTATATAAAAATATAAATCTACCTATATAATTTCCTTTAACTATTATTATGTAAAAAAATAATAAATATATAAAGGCAAGATGACCAATACCCCACCAATCCGCAACCAACAAAACCCGGATTGCTTGCAAAAGCTTAAAAAACAAAAGCAAATCCATCTACATGTCGTTCAACATGCTTCTTGACCGCTCTGCGAATGAGAATGATGATCGGGATGAGGCCTATTCAACGGGATATCGCAATACTCCTTGACGGCTTGAAGAGCAATAGAGACGATGGCAACCATAAGCGGGGCCCACATGGGGTACCTGAACGACAGCGCCAGCGCCGCATCAACCAGTACGACCAACGAGCAATCAATAAACCCGAAATTGATGAAATTCCCCAACAAATTAACCGTGGCCATAACGTGGATAGGAACCAGGCCTTGGACCAAGGAGAACCACAACGCGTCCCCGCGGGCCAAATAACTGATTCCCAATCCCATGAGGACGAGGGACACGTCGGCCAGCTTCTTGCTGCAACGGCCCAGCTTCCTCGCGTGGCAGCCGTATTCACGGAACACAGCTTCATCAGTTATAGAGCACATGTACATAACTGCCAAACAGGAGATTAATTCGAAAGGCCAGTCGTTATGCTTGGGACACATCTAGAGCTTCACAAAGCCAACAGTGAAAGTCGACACGGACGCCAAGTACCAAAGGACTGCCTCTCCCATCCCCAGATGCGCATATCTATGTTCGTCTTCCATTGAGAAGATCGCTCTACGTAATTTGATGACCAATATCACTAAAAATTGCTTGTGAGAGGAAATAATATAATTAATTAAGAGCGCGCGGTAGGTTGAAGAGGGAGCACACAACCCAAATTTATATATATGTGAATTATTAGGTAGCCTACTTAAAATTTTCGCTTTCATCTCTATCAAATTTATTCACTTTCCTAATTTTCGCTTGATGATGCCTATATTTATTTACTTTCCTAATCAATATATGATTAGAGTTTGGTTAGTTTAGAGTATCCGAATCAACATTATTCGCTTTCCCGGTTAAATCTCTATCAACACAGCTGTATTTCATGTGATAGGCGTCGATACATCCTTTTGTTGAGTTGTAAAGATAGCCACATTAAGAGCATCTCCAATGCCAAGCATGAATTGTAGTGTATATGACAATTAAATAGAAGATCTTCACGTGTAAGGAATAGATGTTCAAACACATAAAAATTCTCCAATGGTTTATTTATTCAACTTGGAAAATATAGATCATTCGGTTTTGCTATGAAGCCAACAGTTGGCTCCATAGTGGATTATGTTGATTATTTAATATGATTCGATTTTGCATGGATTATGTTGATTATTTAATATGATTAAGCAGTTACAATCACGTCCAATATGAATTATTTTCCCAATTAATAATTAGTTATTTTCTTATTCCTTTTTATTTTGCTCCATGAATGATTACAACACATATACAAATAATTAATACAACACATACAAGTAATTACATTTAATAATAAATTAATTGACCACCCAAAAAATAATAAAAAAATTACAAATACGTTCTTAATTGACCACCCTTAAGCTTCGATTAGACCTGCAAAAAAAATTAAAAAAAAAAAGTAAACAATACAGGAATGTTATTATTCCATGATTTTAGCACATGATTTATTCATATTTTATTATTAATTGACAGTATGGAGAGCAATGGAAAATAAGTGGCGGACAAACTGAATTTTAAACTAAATGAAATGAAATTAGAAAGCATTTAAAAATGGGCGAGTAATCTAAATCTAAATAAAATTCAAATAAAATTTAAAAGAAATAAAAAAAGCGGCGGTAATAGTATTTGAGGGTTGGGTAGTTAGTTATTTAGAACCAAATATCAGTTACAAATTCAGAAAGGAAGGAAAAAGAGAGGGATGCGGAAAAGTGAAAAGATAATGTGATATATTACAAAAACAAGAGGAGTTATTTTTGCACATATTATTATTAATAAATATTTTATATTAAATGTGCCAATGTGATTTTGACCATACTAAGACCATATATACAGGTCCACCATTCATTCACAACCTCATTGCTATTAACCATCCAAACAAAAACGCTCTTCCTCCTACGTTTTAGAAAAAACAGCAATGGCATCAATATTTAATAATTTGACCTTCTTGGCCCAAAACAAGAATAAGACAGCAAGGCTTAGAGGGGTCAGAACCTGCCCGCGCTTTTATCAGTCGAACAAGGCAAAAATCAGCGGACATGAATTTGTTTTTCATGATGTGAAGGTATACAATTTATTTAATTCTCTAATATTTAATTATTTTTACTCGCAGCATTTCTACTGCCATTGCGTTTGACAATCTTCATTAATTTGGTTTTTTTAGGGTCAGCGTATACACGGATAGGCACCCGTTTGCTTATCGCAAAAGTTTAAAGCATATAAACTTCTTGAAGGCAATGTGTACGACATCACAAATTTTGCACTTGTGGAAGACAAAAGTGCATTCAAGATAACCAAATCAAGTCACAAGTTGATTTTCTACAAACAAACTAAAATGCATGAGATAGTTGATGACGAGTATCCGAGGTTGATGTTCGAGTTCAAACAATTCAGTGAGTTAACCGACCCCAAAACGATTGATCCTTGCACACCTTTTGATATTTTTTCTTTTATATTTTTTAAATAATCAAATTATGGTAATCTTATATTATTTACTTTTTTTTATTTGTAGACATAATTGGCCGTATTGTTTTGTTTCAAAACATACATACAAGAAATTCAAATGGTGGTCAAAAGAGATATGTTGACATTTATATATATATATAATTGCTGGCTAATCCTATTTAATAAAACATTTAATAAAAAGATTTCAGTTTCCCGTCCAAAGACATTACAGGACATGTATATATAGAACTTTTTTTTTAATAAACACACACCTTATTATTTGTGTGGATTATGCTGATTATTTAATATGACTAGAAAGATACAATCACGTTCAATATGAATTATTTTCCCAATTAATTATTAGTTATTTTCTTATTCTTTTTTATTTTGCTCCATGAATGATTACAACACATATACAAATAATTAATACAACACATACAAATAACTAAATTTAATAATAAATTAATTGACCACACCAAAAAATAATAAAAAAAAATTACAAATACGATCTTTATTGACCACCTTTAAGCTTCGATTAGTCCTGCAAAAAAAATAAAAAAAATAATAAAAATCAGTAAACAATATAGGAATGTTATTATTCCATGATTTTAGCACATGATTTATTCATATTTTATTGTTAATTATCAGTTACAAAATATGGAGAGCAATGGAAAATAAGTGGCGGGCAAACTGAATTTTAAACTAAATGAAATTAGATTAGAAAGCATTAAAAAATGGGCGAGTAATCTAAATCTAAATAAAATTCAAATGAAATTTAAAAGCAATAAAAAAAGCGGTGGGAATAGTATTTGTGGGTTGTGTTGTTAGTTATTAAGGACCAAATATCAGTTACAAATTCAGAAAGGAAGGAAAAAGAGAGGGATGCGGAAAAGTGAAAGATAATGTGATATATTACAAAAACAAGAGGAGTTATTTTTGCACATATTATTATTAATAAATATTTTATATTAAATGTGCCAATGTGATTTTGACCATACTAAGACCATATATACAGGTCCACCATTCATTCACAACCTCATTGCTATTAACCATCCAAACAAAAACGCTCTTCCTCCTACGTTTTAGAAAAAACAGCAATGGCATCAATATTTAATAATTTGACCTTCTTGGCCCAAAACAAGAATAAGACAGCAAGGCTTAGAGGGGTCAGAACCTGCCCGCGCTTTTATCAGTCGAACAAGGCAAAAATCAGCGGGCATGAATTTGTTTTTCATGATGTGAAGATATACAATTTATTTAATTCTCTAATATTCAATTATTTTTACTCGCAGCATTTCTACTGGCATTGCGTTTGACAATCTTCATTAATTTGGTTTTTTTGGGGCCAGCGTATACACGACTGGGCACCTGGATGCTTATCGCAAAAGTTTAAAGAATTTAAACTTCTTGAAGGCAATGTGTACGACATCACAAATTTTGCACTTGTGGAAGACAAAAGTGCATTCAAGATAACCAAATCAAGTCACAAGTTGATTTTCTATAAACAAACTAAAATGCAGAGATAGTTGATGACGAGTATCCGAGGTTGATGTTCGAGTTCAAGCAATTCAGCGAGCTAACCGACCCCGAAACGATTGATCCTTGCACACCTTTTGGTATTTTTTATTTTTTATTTTTTATTTTTTAAATAATAAAAATTATGGTAATCTTATATCATTTACTAATTTTTTCTTTTTTATTTGTAGATATAATTGGCCGTATTGTTTTGTTTCAAAACATACATACAAGAAATTAAAATGGCGGTTAAAAGAGATATGTTGACATCTATATATATATATATATAATTGCTGGCTAATCCTATTTAATAAAACATTTAATAAGAAGATTTCAGTTTCCCGTCCAAAGACGTTACAGGGCATGTATATATAGAACTTTTTTTTAATAAACACACACCTTATTATTTGCATGGATTATGTTGATTAATAAATATGATTAGGTAGTTACAATCACGTCCAATATGAATTATTTTCCCATTTACTAATTAGTTATTTTCTTATTCTTTTTTATTTTGCTCCATGAATGATTACAACACATATACAAATAATTAATACAACACATACAAATAATTACATTTAATAATAAATTAATTGACCACCCAAAAAATAATAAATAAATTACAAATACGTTCTTAATTGACCACCCTTAAGCTTCGATTAGACCTGCAAAAAAAATGAAAAAAATAAAAAAAGTAAACAATACAGGAATCTTTTTATTCCATGATTTAGCACATGATTTATTCATATTTTATTGTTAATTGTCAGTTACAAAATATGGAGAGCAATGGAAAATAAGTGGCAGGCAAACTGAATTTTAAACTAAATGAAATGAAATTAGAAAGCATTTAAAAATGGGCGGGTAGTCTAAATCTAAATTAAATTCAAATGAAATTTAAAAGCCATAAAAAAAGCAGCGGGAGTAGTATTTGTGGGTTGGGCTGTTAGTTATTAAGAACCAAATATCAATTACAAATTCAGAAAGGAAGGGAAAAGAGAAGGATGCGGAAATGTGAAAGATAATGTGATATATTACAAAAACAAGAGGAGTGATTTTTGCACATATTATTATTAATAAATATTTTATATTAAATGTGTCAATGTCATTTTGACCATACTAAGACCATATATATAGGTCCACCATTCATACACAACCTCATTGCAATTAACCATCCAAACAAAAACACTCTTCCTCCTACGTTTTAGAAAAAACAGCAATGACATCAATCTTTAACAATTTGGCCTTCTTGGCCAAAAACAAGAATAAGACAGCAAGGCTTAGATTGGTCAGAACCTGCCCGCGCTTTTATCAGTCGAACAAGGCAAAAATCAGCGGACATGAATTTGTTTTTCATGATGTGAAGGTATACAATTTTTTTAATTCTCTAATATTCAATTATTTTTACTCGCAGCATTTCTACTGGCGTTGCGTTTGACAATCTTCATTAATTTGGTTTTTTAGGCCAGCGTATACACGACTGGGCACCTGGATGCTTATCGCAAAAGTTTAAAAAATTTAAACTTCTTGAAGGCAATGTGTACGACATCACAAATTTTGCACTTGTGGAAACAAAAGTGCATTCAAGATAACCAAATCAAGTCACAAGTTGATTTTCTACAATCAAACTAAAATGCATGAGATAGTTGATGACGAGTATCCGAGGTTGATGTTCGAGTTCAAGCAATTCAGCGAGCTAACCGTCCCCGAAACGATTGATCCTTGCACACCTTTTGGTATTTATTATTTTTTATTTTTTAAATAATACAAATTATAGTAATCTTATATTATTTACTAATTTTTTTATTTGTAGACATTATTGGCCGTATTGTTTTGTTTCAAAACATACATACAAGAAATTCAAATGGCGGTCAAAAGAGATATGTTGGCATCTATATATATATATATATATATATATATATATATATATATAATTGCTGGCTAATCCTATTTAATAAAACATTTAATAAAAAGATTTCAGTTTCCCGCCCAAGGACGTTACAGGGCATGTATATATAGAATTTTTTTTTATTAAACACGCACCTTATTATTTGCATGGATTATGTTGATTATTTAATATGATTAGGCAGTTACAATCACGTCCAATATGAATTATTTTTCCAATTAATAATTAGTTATTTTCTTATTCTTTTCTATTTTGCTCCATGAATGATTACAACACATATACAAATAATTAATACAACACATACAAATAATTACATTTAATAATAAATTAATTGATCACCCTAAAAATAATAAAAAATTCTTAATTGACCACCCTTAAGCTTCGATTAGACCTGCGAAAAAATTAAAAAAAAATATAAAAAAGTAAACAATACAGGAATGTTATTATTCCATGATTTTAGCACATGATTTATTCATATTTTATTATTAATTGTCGGTTACAAAATATGGAGAGCAATGGAAAATAAGCGGCAGGCAAACTGAATTTTAAACTAAATGAAATGAAATTAGAAAGCATTTAAAAATGGGCGGGTAATCTAAATCTAAATAAAATTCAAATGAAATTTAAAAGCAATAAAAAAAGCGGCGGGAATAGTATTTGTGGGTTGGGTTGTTAGTTATTAAGAACCAAATATCAGTTACAAATTCAGAATGGAAGGAAAAAGAGACGGATGCGGAAAAGTGAAAGACAAAAACAAAATGAGTGATTTTTGCATATATTATTATTATTATTTATTTTATATTAAATGTGCCAATGTGATTTTGACCATACTAAGACCATATATATTGGTCCACCATTCATTCACAACCTCATTGCAATTAACCATCCAAACAAAAACTCTCTTCCTCCTACGTTTTAGAAAAAACAACAACGACATCAATCTTTAACAATTTGACCTTCTTGGCCAAAAACAAGAATAAGACAGCAAGGCTAGATTTGTCGGAACCTACCCGCGCTTTTATCAGTCGAACAAAGCAAAAATCAGCGGACATGAATTTGTTTTTCATGATGTGAAGGTATACAATTTTTTTAATTCTCTAATATTCAATTATTTTTTACTCGCAGCATTTCTACTGCCATTGCGTTTGACAATCTTCATTAATTTGGTTTTTTTAGGGCCAGCGTATACAAGGCTGGGCACCCGGATGCTTATCGCAAAAAGTTAAAGAACTTAAACTTCTTGAAGTCAATGTGTACGACATCACAAATTTTGCACTTGTGGAAGACAAAAAGTGCATTCAAGATCACCAAATCAAGTCACAAATTGTTTTTCTACAAACAAACTAAAATGCATGAGATAGTTGATGACGAGTATCTGAGGTTGATGTTCGAGTTCAAGCAATTCAGCGAGCTAACCGACCCCAAAACGATTGATCCTTCCACACCTTTTGGTATTTTTTCTTTTTTATTTTTTAAATAATACAAATTATGGTAATCTTATATTATTTACTAATTTTTTTATTTATTTATAGACATAATTGGCCGTATTGTTTTGTTTCAAAACATATATACAAGAAATTCAAATGGCGGTCAAAAGAGATATGTTGAAATCTATATATATATAATTGCTGGCTAATCCTATTTAATAAAACATTTAATAAAAAGATTTCAGTTTCCCGCCCAAAGACGTTACAGGGCATGTATATATAGAACTTTTTTTTAATAAACACACACCTTATTATTAGCATGGATGATGCTGATTATTTATTATGATTAGGCAGTTACAATCACGTCCAATATGAATTATTTTTCCAATTAATAATTAGTTATTTTCTTATTCTTTTTTATTTTGCTCCATGAAAGATTACAACACATATACAAATAATTAATACAACACATACAAATAATTACGTTTAATAATAAATTTGACCACACTTAAAAAAAATAAAAACAAATTACAAATACGTTCTTAATTGACCACCCTGAAGCTTCGATTAGACATGCAAAAATAAAAATCAGAAAACAATATAGGAATGTTATTATTCCATGAATTTATCATATGATTTATTCATATTTTATTATTAATTGTCAGTTACAAAATATGGAGAGCAATGGAAAATAAGTGGCGGGCAAACTGAATTTTAAACTAAATGAAATGAAATTAGAAAGCATTTAAAAATGGGAGGGTAATCTAAATCTAAATAAAATTCAAATGAAATTTAAAAGCAATAAAAAAAGCGGCGGGAATAGTATTTGTGGGTTCGGTTGTTAGTTATTAAGAACCAAATATCAGTTACAAATTCAGAAAGGAAGGAAAAAGCGAGGGATGCGGAAAAGTGAAAGATAATGTGATATATTGCAAAAACAAGAGGAGTGATTTTTGCACATATTATTATTAATAAATATTTTATATTAAATGTGCCAATGTAATTTTGACCATACTAAGACCATATATATAGGTCAATCATTCATTCACAACCTCATTGCAATTAACCATCCAAACAAAAACACTCTTCCTCATACGTTTTTAACAATTTGACCTTCTTGGCCAAAAACAAGAATCAGACAACTAGGCTTAGATTGGTCAGAACCTACCCGCGCTTTTATCAGTCGAACAAAGCAAAAATCAGCTGACATGAATTTGTTTTTCATTATGTGAAGGTATACAATTTTTTTAATTCTCTAATATTCAATTATTTTTTACTCGCAGCATTTCTACTGCCATTGCGTTTGACAGTCTTCATTAATATGGTTTTTTTTGGGCCATCGTATACACGGCTGGGCACCCAGATGCTTATCGCAAAAGTTTAAAGAATTTAAACTTCTTGAAGGCAGTGTGTACGACATCACAAATTTTGCACTTGCGGAAGACAAAAGTTCATTCAAGATAACCAAATCAAGTCACAAGTTGATTTTCTACAAACAAACTAAAATGCATGAGATAGTTGATGACGAGCATCCGAGGTTGATGTTCGAGTTCAAGCAATTCAACGAGCTAACCGACCCCGAAACGATTGATCCTTGCGTACCTTTTGCTATTTTTTATTTTTTATTTTTTAAATAATACAAATTATGGTAATCTTATATTATTTACTATTTTAGCGTTGCACTAGCAAAATCTACTCAATGTAATCGACCCAACGAACGAAGCGAAGTGAAGTCAAAGAGCTCAAAAGGAGAGGTGTAATTGACAAAGAAAGATTTATTCGAGAATTGAGAATCCTGTCTACCGGGGAAAGCCTCAATGCAGATTGAGCTGCCCCGCTCGTTTGAGCTACTGATACAAGATGAATGAATGCTTCGGACAAAGCTCTATCTGGTGGCCTGTCTTGGCTTGATCCACTTCCGAAATCCTTCGTGCCTTACAAATTTCGGCGATCATGCCCCACTCCTTGCTCCATTCGCCCACATCCTCAACCTGGTCAAGCAGGCTTACGCCGAGTTCTAAGTGAAATGCCTGAACTTTATTTGTAGACATAAATGGCCGTATTGTTTTGTTTCAAAACATACATACAAGAAATTCAAATGGCGGTCAAAGGAGAAATGTTGATAGCAATATATATGTAGTTGCTGGCTAATCCTATTTAATAAAATATTTAATAAAAAGATTTAAGTTTCCCGCCCAAAGACGTTCCAGGGCATGTATATATAGAACTTTTTTTTAATAAACACAAACCTTATTATTTGCATGGATTATGTTGATTATTTAATATGATTAAGCAGTTACAATCACGTCCAATATGAATTATTTTCCCAATTAATAATTAGTTATTTTCTTATTCTTTTTTATTTTGCTCCATGAATGATTACAACACATATACAAATAATTAATACAACACATACAAATAATTACATTTATTGATAAATTAATTGACCACCCCCAAAAAAAAATTACAAATACGTTCTTAATTGACCACCCTTAAGCTTCGATTAGACCTGCAAAAAACAAAAATAAAAAAAATAAAAATCAGTAAACAATATAGGAATCTTATTATTCCATGATTTTAGCACATGATTTATTCATATTTTATTATTAATTGTCCGTTACAAAATATGGAGAGCAATCGAAAATAAGTGGTGGGCAAACTGAATTTTAAACTAAATGAATTGAAATTACAAAGCATTTAAAAATGGGCGGGTAATCTAAATCTAAATAAAATTCAAATGAAATTTAAAAGCAATAAAAAAAGCGGCGGGAATAGTATTTGTGGGTTGGGTTGTTAGTTATTAAGAACCAAATATCAGTTACAAATTCAGAAAGGAAGGAAAAAGAGAGGGATGCGGATAAGTGAAAGATAATGTGATATATTACAAAAACAAGAGGAGTGAGTTTTGCACATATTATTAATTATAAATATTTTATATTAAATGTGCCAATGTGATTTTGACCATACTAAAACAATATATATAGGTCCACCATTCATTCACAACCACATTGCAATTAACCATCCAAAAAAAAAAAACACTCTTCCTCATACGTTTTTAACAATTTGACTTTCTTGGCCAAAAACAAGAATAAGACAACAAGGCTTAGATTGTTCAGAACCTACCCGCGCTTTTATCAGCCGAACAAAGAAAAAATCAGCTGACATGAATTTGTTTTTCATGATGTGAAGGTATACAATTTTTTTTATTCTCTAATATTCAATTATTTTTTACTCGCAGCATTTCTACTGCCATTGCGTTTGACAATCTTCATTAATTTGGTTTTTTTAGGGCCAGCATATACACGACTGGGCACCCGGATGCTTATCGCAAAAGTTTAGAGAATTTAACCTTCTTGAAGGCAATGTGTACGACATCACAAATTTTGCACTTGTGGAAGACAAAAGTGCATTCAAGATAACCAAATCAAGTCACAAGTTGATTTTTCTACAAACAAACTAAAATGCATGAGATAGTTGATGACGTGTATTCGAGGTTGATGTTCGAGTTCAAGCAATTCAACGAGGTAACCGACCTCGAAACGATTGATCCTTGCACACCTTTTGGTATTTTTTATTTTTTATTTTTTAAATAATACAAATTATTGTAATCTTATATTATTTACTATTTTTTTTATTTGTAGATATAATTGGCCGTATTGTTTTGTTTCAAAACATACATACAAGAAATTTAAATGGCGGTCAAAAGAGATATGTTGACATCTATATATATGTAATTGCTGGCTAATCCTATTTAATAAAAAATTTAATAAAAAGATTTCAGTTTCCCACCCAAAGACGTTCCAGGGAATGTATATATAGATCTTTTTTTTAATAAACACAAACCTTATTATTTGCATGGATTATGTTGATTATTTAATATGATTAAGCAGTTACAATCACGTCGAATATGAATTATTTTCACAATTAATAATTAGTTATTTTCTTATTCTTTTTTATTTTGCTCCATGAATGATTACAACACATATACAAATAATTAATACAACACATACAAATAATTACATTTAATAATAAATTAATTGACCACCCTAAAAATAATAAAAAAAATTACAAATACGTTCTTAATTGACCACCCTTAAGCTTCGATTAGACCTGCAAAAAAAATTAAAAAAAAAAGTAAACAATACAGGAATGTTATTATTCCATGATTTTAGCACATGATTTATTCATATTTTATTATTAATTGACAGTATGGAGAGCAATGGAAAATAAGTGGCGGGCAAACTGAATTTTAAACTAAATGAAATGAAATTAGAAAGTATTTAAAAATGGGCGAGTAATCTAAATCTAAATAAAATTCAAATAAAATTTAAAAGAAATAAAAAAAGCGGCGATAATAGTATTTGAGGGTTGGGTAGTTAGTTATTTAGAACCAAATATCAGTTACAAATTCAGAAAGGAAGGAAAAAGAGAGGGATGCGGAAAAGTGAAAAGATAATGTGATATATTACAAAAACAAGAGGAGTAATTTTTTCACATATTATTATTAATAAATATTTTATATTAAATGTGCCAATGTGATTTTGACAATACTAAGACCATATATATAGGTCCATCATTCATTCACAACCTCATTGCATTTAACCATCCAAACAAAAACAATCTTCCTCCTACGTTTTAGAAAAAACCGCAATGGCATCAATCTTTAACAATTTGACCTTCTTGGCCAAAAACAAAAATAAGACAACAAGGCTTAGATTGATCAGAACCTACCCGCGCTTTTATCAGTCGAACAAAGCAAAAATCAGCTGACATGAATTTGATATTCATGATGTGCAGGTATACAATTTTTTTAATTCTCTAATATTCAATTATTTTTTACTCGCAGCATTTCTACTGGCATTGCGTTTGACAATCTTCATTAATTTTGTTTTTTAGGGCCAGCGTATACACGACTGGGCAAATGGATGCTTATCGCAAAAGTTTAAAGAATTTAAACTTCTTGAAGGCAATGTGTACGACATCACAAATTTTGCACTTGTGGAAGAGAAAAGTGCATTCAAGATAACCAAATCAAGTCACAAGTTGATTTTCTGTAAACAAACTAAAATGCATGAGATAGTTGATGACGAGTATCCGAGGTTGATGTTCGAGTTCAAGCAATTCAGCTAGCTAAACGACCCCGAAACGATTGATCCTTGCACACCTTTTGGTATTTTTTATTTTTTATTTTTTAAATAATAAATATTATGGTAATCTTATATTATTTACTAATTTTTATCTTTTTTATTTGTAGATATAATTGGCCGTATTGTTTTGTTTCAAAACATACATACAAGAAATTCAAATGGCGGTTAAAAGAGATATGTTGACATCTATATATATATAATTGCTGGCTAATCCTATTTAATAAAACATTTAATAAAAAGATTTCAGTTTCCCGTCCAAAGACGTTACAGGACATGTATATATAGAACTTTTTTTTTAGTAAACACACACCTTATTATTTGCATGGATTATGTTGATTAATAAATATGATTAGGCAGTTACAATCACGTCCAATATGAATTATTTTCCCATTTACTAATTAGTTATTTTCTTATTCTTTTTTGTTTTGCTCCATGAATGATTACAACACATATACAAATAATTAATACTTACAAATAATTACATTTAATAATAAATTTATTGACCACCTAAAAATTAATAAAAAAATTACAAATACGTTCTTAATTGACCACCCTTAGCTACGATTAGACCTGCAAAAAAAATAAAAAAATAAAAAAAGTAAACAATACAGGAATCTTATTATTGCATGATTTTAGCACATGAGTTATTCATATTTTATTATTAATTGTCAGTTACAAAATATGGAGAGCAATGGAAAATAAGTGGCAGGCAAACTGAATTTTAAACTAAATGAAATGAAATTAGAAAGCATTTAAAAATGGGCGGGTAATCTAAATCTAAATAAAATTCAAATGAAATTTAAAAGCAATAAAAAAAGCGGCGGGAATAGTATTTGTGGGTTGGGTTCTTAGTTATTAAGAACCAAATATCAATTACAAATTCAAAAAGAAAGGAAAAAGAGAGGGAAGTGGAAAAGTGAAAGATAATGTGATATATTACAAAAACAAGAGGAGTGATTTTTGCACATATTATTATTAATAAATATTTTATATTAAATGTGCCAATGTCATTTTGACCATACTAAGACCATATATATAGGTCCACCATTCATACACAACCTCATTGCAATTAACCATCCAAACAAAAACACTCTTCCTCCTACATTTTATAAAAAACAGCAATGGCATCAATCTTTAACAATTTGGCCTTCTTGGCCAAAAACAAGAATAAGACAACAAGGCTTAGATTGGTCAGAACCTGCCCGCGCTTTTATCAGTCGAACAAGGCAAAAATCAGTGGACATGAATTTGTTTTTCATGATGTGAAGGTATACAATTTTTTTAATTCTCTAATATTCAATTATTTTTACTCGCAACATTTCTATTGGCATTGCGTTTGACAATCTTCATTAATTTTGTTTTTTAGGGCCAGCGTATGCACGACTGGGCACCTGGATGCTTATCGCAAAAGTTTAAAGAATTTAAACTTCTTGAAGGCAATGTGTACGACATCACAAATTTTGCACTTGTGGAAGACAAAAGTGCATTCAAGATAACCAAATCAAGTCACAAGTTGATTTTCTATAAACAAACTAAAATGCATGAGATAGTTGATGACGAGTATCCGAGGTTGATGTTCGAGTTCAAGCAATTCAGCTAGCTAACCGACCCCGAAACGATTGATCCTTGCACACCTTTTGGTATTTTTTATTTTTTAAATAATACAAATTATGGTAATCTTATATTATTTACTAATTTTTATCTTTTTTATTTGTAGATATAATTGGCCGTATTGTTTTGTTTCAAAACATACATACAAGAAATTCAAATGGCGGTTAAAAGAGATATGTTGACATCTATATATATATATATAATTGCTGGCTAATCCTATTTAATAAAACATTTAATAAAAAGATTTCAGTTTCCCGTCCAAAGACGTTACAGGGCATGTATATATAGAACTTTTTTTTAATAAACACACACCTTATTATTTGCATGGATTATGTTGGTTAATAAATATGATTAGGCAGTTACAATCACGTCCAATATGAATTATTTTCCCATTTACTAATTAGTTATTTTCTTATTCTTTTTTATTTTGCTCCATGAATGATTACAACACATATACAAATAATTAATACAACACATACAAATAAGGGTTAATAACTTTTTTCCATCTGAACTTTCACGTTTTTGGCGCATCACCATATGAACTTTTTTTTTTTTACAAACCACCATCTAAAGTACACGAATTTGTCAAATTGGCCTCTAAACCGGATATAAAAGTGGTTTTTACTAAAAAAGCAGATTTCTAAGGGTATTTCTGTAATATCATATAATTTCCAAAAAAAAAATAAAAAAAAATTAAAAAATGAAGATGTTGGTTTATCTTCTCCGACCGTATCTCTTGCAACACCTAATCGACCCTCAAGTGCCTTCTCCGATCCTCCGCCTACCCGGACGAGTTTCAGGCTGTGTTGTCTAATCGATCCTCAAGTGTTCCTTCGAGTTCTGCAACACTGTCAGGTCGTCGCCGGAATTTCGCTGCTCGGTCGTCGGTCATCCCACTGCCAATCTCAGCCCCAAATTCGACGCCACCAATAATAACCCGTTGGGTCGCAGTCATCCCACCCGCGATGTGAACCACGAAGCCCAAAACAATGAATTACGGTCAACCCACTGCCCAATCTCAGCCCCAAATTCGCCGCCACCAACAATCAGCCGTCGGGTCGCCGTCATCCCGCCCCAACCGCCGCCATCCCACTCGCGACGTAAACCACGATTCAGCCTGAGCATCCACCTCGTAGAGTCGTACGGCTTCTCGCCGCGCCTGCTCGGCTGCAAGTCGCCGGAAGACAGGGCTCCATCTCGATGCTCTTGCCATCGGAAAACGCAACTCTCGAAGGTGTTGGCTTCAAGGCGGCCGGACGATGGTCGGAGAAGACGATGGCTGCGGGAAAAGTCACCGAAATCGCTGCTCCAGACGAGAAGGATGAGGTCGCCGAGTTTGTTGCTTCTCATCTCCGCCAAGAAGAGAGAGAGACGACGGAAATTTTTAAGGAAGGAGATGAGGGGCGATTTGTTGGAGATGTGTTTTTTTGCTGCAGGCCAATTTTCAGATCTGATTTAGGAAGAACGATGAAGAAATGGTGATCTGGTCAAAGAGGGGTGACAAACATATACAACTCCTAAAATACCCTTACAAATCAACTTTTTTTGACAAAAACTACTTTAATTCTGGTTTGAGATGGCAAAATGACAAACTCGTGTAGTTTAGATGGTGGTTTGTAAAATAAAAAGTTCATATGGTGATGCGCCAAAAATGTGAAAGTTCAGATGGGAAAAAGTTATTAACCCTACAAATAATTACATTTAATAATAAATATATTGACCACCCAAAAAATAATAAAAAAATTACAAATACGTTCTTAATTGACCACCCTTAAGCTTCGATTAGACCTGCAAAAAAAATAAAAAAATAAAAAAAGTAAACAATACAGGAATCTTATTATTCCATGATTTTAGCACATGAGTTATTCATATTTTATTAATAATTGTCGGTTACAAAATATGGAGAGCAATGGAAAATAAGTGGCAGGCAAACTGAATTTTAAACTAAATGAAATGAAATTAGAAAGCATTTAAAAATGGGCGGGTAATCTAAATCTAAATAAAATTCAAATGAAATTTAAAAGCAATAAAAAAAGCGGCGGGAATAGTATTTGTGGGTTGGGTTCTTAGTTATTAAGAACCAAATATCAGTTACAAATTCAGAAAGGAAGGAAAAAGAGAGGGAAGCGGAAAAGTGAAAGATAATGTGATATAGTACAAAAACAAGAGGAGTGATTTTTGCACATATTATTATTAATAAATATTTTATATTAAATGTGCCAATGTCATTTTGACCATACTAAGACCATATATATAGGTCCACCATTCATACACAACCGCATTGCAATTAACCATCCAAACAAAAACACTCTTCCTCCTACGTTTTATAAAAAACAGCAATGGCATCAATCTTTAACAATTTGGCCTTCTTGGCCAAAAACAAGAATAAGACAGCAAGGCTTAGATTGGTCAGAACCTGCCCGCGCTTTTATCAGTCGAACAAGGCAAAAATCAGTGGACATGAATTTGTTTTTCATGATGTGAAGGTATACAATTTTTTTAATTCTCTAATATTCAATTATTTTTACTCGCAACATTTCTACTGGCATTGCGTTTGACAATCTTCATTAATTTGGTTTTTTAGGGTCAGCGTATGCACGACTGGGCACCTGGATGCTTATCGCAAAAGTTGAAAGAATTTAAACTTCTTGAAGGCAATGTGTACGACATCACAAATTTTGCACTTGTGGAAGACAAAAGTGCATTCAAGATAACCAAATCAAGTCACAAGTTGATTTTCTACAATCAAACTAAAATGCATGAGATAGTTGATGACGAGTATCCGAGGTTGATGTTCGAGTTCAAGCAATTCAGCGAGCTAACCGTCCACGAAACGATTGATCCTTGCACACCTTTTGGTATTTTTTATTTTTTATTTTTTAAATATTACAAATTATGGTAATCTTATATTATTTACTAATTTTTTTTTATTTGTAGACATTATTGGCCGTATTGTTTTGTTTCAAAACATACATACAAGAAATTCAAATGGCGGTCAAAAGAGATATGTTGACATCTATATATATATATATACATATATATATAATTGCTGGCTAATCCTATTTAATAAAACATTTAATAAAAAGATTTCAGTTTCCCGCCCAAGGACGTTACAGGGCATGTATATATAGAAATTTTTTTTAGTAGACACGCACCTTATTATTTGCATGGATTATGTTGATTATTTAATATGATTAGGCAGTTACAATCACGTCCAATATGAATTTTTTTTCCAATTAATAATTTGTTATTTTTTCTTATTCTTTTTTATTTTTCTCCATGAATGATTACAACACATATACAAATAATTAATACAACACATACAAATAATTACATTTAATAATAAATTAATTGATCACCCTACAAATAATAAAAAATTCTTAATTGACCACCCTGAAGTTTCGATTAGACTTGCGAAAAAAATAAAAAAAATAAAAAAAGTAACAATACAGGAATGTTATTATTCCATGATTTTAGCACATGATTTATTCATACTTTATTATTAATTGTCGGTTACAAAATATGGAGAGCAATGGAAAATAAGCGGCGGGCAAACTGAATTTTAAACTAAATGAAATGAAATTAGAAAGCATTTAAAAATGGGCGGGTAATCTAAATTTAAATAAAATTCAAATGAAATTTAAAAGCAATAAAAAAAGCGGCGGGAATAGTATTTGTGGGTTAGGTTCTTAGTTATTAAGAACCAAATATCAGTTACAAATTCATAATGGAAGGAAAAAGAGACGGATGCGGAAAAGTGAAAGACAAAAACAAAAGGAGTGTTTTTTGCATATATTATTATTATTACTTATTTTATATTAAATGTACCAATGTGATTTTGACCATACTAAGACCATATATATAGGTCCACCATTCATTCACAACCTCATTGCAATTAACCATCCAAACAAAAACTCTCTTCCTTCTACGTTTTAGAAAAAACAACAATGGCATCAATCTTTAACAATTTGGCCTTCTTGGCCAAAAACAAGAATAAGACAACAAGGCTTAGATTGGTCAGAACCTACCCGCGCTTTTATCAGTCGAACAAAGCAAAAATCAGCGGACATGAATTTGTTTTTCATGATGTGAAGGTATACAATTTTTTTAATTCTCTAATATTCAATTATTTTTTACTCGCAGCATTTCTACTGCCATTGCGTTTGACAATCTTCATTAATTTGGTTTTTTTAGGGCCAGCGTATACAAGGCTGGGCACCCGGATGCTTATCGCAAAAAGTTAAAGAACTTAAACTTCTTGAAGTCAATGTGTACGACATCACAAATTTTGCACTTGTGGAAGACAAAAAGTGCATTCAAGATCACCAAATCAAGTCACAAATTGACTTTCTACAAACAAACTAAAATGTATAAGATAGTTGATGACGAGTATCTGAGGTTGATGTTCGAGTTCAAGCAATTCAGCGAGCTAACCGACCCCAAAACGATTAATCCTTGCACACTAAGACGTTAAAGGGCATGTATATATAGAACTTTTTTTTAATAAACACACACCTTATTATTAGCATGGATGATGCTGATTATTTAATATGATTAGGCAGTTACAATCACGTCGAATATGAATTATTTTCCCAATTAATAATTAGTTATTTTCTTATTCTTTTTTATTTTGCTCCATGAACGATTACAACACATATACAAATAATTAATACAACATATACAAATAATTACATTTAATAATAAATTTGACCACACTTAAAAATAATAAAAACAAATTACAAGTACGTTCTTAATTGACCACCCTGAAGCTTTGATTAGACATGCAAAAAATAAAAATCAAAAAACAATATAGGAATGATATTATTCTATGAATTTAGCATATGATTTATTCATATTTTATTATTTATTGTCAGTTACAAAATATGGAGAGCAATGGAAGATAAGTGGCGGGCAAACTGAATTTTAAACTAAATGAAATGAAATTAGAAAGCATTTAAAAATTGGAGGGTAATCTAAATCTAAATAAAATTCAAATGAAATTTAAAAGCAATAAAAAAAGCGGCGGGAATAGTATTTGTGGGTTTGGTTGTTAGTTATTAAGAACCAAATATCAGTTACAAATTCAGAAAGGAAGGAAAAAGAGAGAGATGCGGAAAAGTGAAAGATAATGTGATATATTGCAAAAACAAGAGGAGTGATTTTTGCACATATTATTATTAATAAATATTTTATATTAAATGTGCCAATGTAATTTTGAACATACTAAGACCATATATATAGGTCCACCATTCATTCACAACCTCATTGCAATTAACCATCCAAACAAAAATACTCTTCCTCATACGTTTTTAACAATTTGACCTTCTTGGCCAAAAACAAGAATCAGACAATAAGGCTTAGATTGGTCAGAACCTACCCGCGCTTTTATCAGTCGAACAAAGCAAAAATCAGCTGACATGAATTTGTTTTTCATGATGTGAAGGTATACAATTTTTTTAATTCTCTAATATTCAATTATTTTTTACTCGCAGCATTTCTACTGCCATTGCGTTTGACAATCTTCATTAATTTGGTTTTTTTTGGGCCAGCGTATACACGGCTGGGCACCCAGATGCTTATCGCAAAAGTTTAAAGAATTTAAACTTCTTGAAGGCAGTGTGTACGACATCACAAATTTTGCACTTGTGGAAGACAAAAGTTCATTCAAGATAACCAAATCAAGTCACAAGTTGATTTTCTACAAACAAACTAAAATGCATGAGATAGTTGATGACGAGTATCCGAGGTTGATGTTCTAGTTCAAGCAATTCAACGAGCTAACCGACCCTGAAACGATTGATCCTTGCACACCTTTTGGTACTTTTTATTTTTTATTTCTTAAATAATACAAATTATGGTAATCTTATATTATTAACTATTTTTTTTTATTTGTAGACATAAATGGCCGTATTGTTTTGTTTCAAAACATACATAAAAGAAATTCAAATGGCGGTCAAAAGAGATATGTTGACATTGTTCTTCAAGATGTTGAGTAAGTTATATGCACATACAACTTTGGTTTTATTTTAATTTGAGCATTGATATCTTTCATAAATTAATTGTTTATTTTTTTGTACATTGTAGGGGCTACCACCAAACTTGCACCCTATGGGAATCATATGCGGAAAACTGATAGCCTCCTACAAAATGTCGGATCCAACGGAAATGAAAATACTCATATTCCAACTTTACCATACAAAGTCATATGATGATGGTATATATTATTTGGCCTAATTGCTCCTATTACTATTTTAGATTTATTTTACAATTTTTAATATTGTCCCAAAAAAAATTATTTTTTGTAGGATCTGTTTTGTTTTCCAACATTTATGATGCTACAAAATTGATAATCTCGAATGATGTTCCCGAGATTATTGATTTCAAACAAAGGTATATATCCTATGCCAAAAATAGCTAAT